GGGTCACCTTCACTCAGTGCTGTGGGGAGTGAGCCCCTCGTGCCCCCAGCAAACCTGCAGACACTGATGGGCAAGTTGGGGAGGGCACAACATGCCGCCTGTCCACAGTGGTCTTCCTGCCATGAGCCATTGGGTGTGGAGCAGGCTCCTTTCATGGGACAAGCACAGGCCAGGAGCCAGAGGGCCTGGTCAAGTGCTGGTCCCGAGTTCACCCTTCCCTGACTGTTGGAGCTGAGGAAAGGCAACTCCTCTCTTGGGGCCTTTGTTCTGTTGCCTGCAAAATGAAGGGCATGGGCTAGCATTCAGTCTGTCCCCTCCCTGAGGATTCTCCAAGCTATAGCCCTCTGCAGTGCATGGTTAAGTGAAGAGAGGTCACAAAGTGGAGTTGCAAGCTTTGGGGTCTGTGGCAAAACTAGAAGTGTGCCACCCAGATCCCCTGTCAGAGGAAGACCTGCTGCCCAGCTGTGGTGAGTGGGGTCAACAGATGGCCTCCAGCTGTCAGCTCCAGCCAAAGAGAGCCACCTCTCCTGAGACCACATCCTTCTCCAGGACAACCCACGCTGTGACCTGAGCAAGGCAAGGGAAGGCAGACCCTGGAATCTTGTCCCAACACAGGCCACTCTGATAGGTAATATTTGCTCCAAAGTTCCCTGTAGAATTGGCCGAGACTTGGGGAGCCTGCATCTCCATTAGCCTTCCTTCTGGGCCTACTCCTACTTCATCCCCTGCCTTTCCTTGGTGTTGGTCCCAAACCCTGTTTCTCCATCTGCCTCTGAAGAACCATCTGCAATAGCATCGAAGCACCCAAGGCACCCAGAAAGGCCAGGCACCAACCTTCAGAACAGAAGCCGTGGCCACCACGGACCTGAGAGCGAGAGAAATGACTGGCGTGTGGACACCAGGACAGCACATGCAGCCATAGCTACAGCTCAGGACAGTCATCTTGTGGGAGCCCCACCCACCTAAAAAGTAGGACCGCCTGCTCCCCAGACCAGCCCCTTCTGCAATTAGGTTTTCCTGCAGGTGGTTTGCAGTCCCTCAAGCTCAAGAAATCCAAGCCTTGTCCAGTTCCCTTTCTCTCCTGCTCCTGCATCTAAACAAGTCCTGAGTTCTGAAGTCTCCACCTCGGCACTGCCTCCCGCCATCACCTGCACCTCCCCTGAGTGCCACCCCCTCCTTGGGCCATCACAGCAGCCCCCTGCAGACCTCCCTCCCCAGTTCACCCCTCCTTTCTGTCAGCTGACTCTCCTCGAGCAAGCTCCTATCACTGTGATGCTCGACTCTGCTCCCCATCATTGCTCTGTAGGAGGAAGAGAGTGCTGGAAGTGTTGGAATCACACCGGTCCCTCACACCTGTTTCCCCCGAAGTCACTGGGAGGTGTTCGTTGCTGTTTATAAGAAAAACACAAAGGTGATAAAACAATGTAAATTGGAGAAGTTTTTGTTGCTATTTGGATTCAGGTCAGTGTTATTTCCTTCCCTTAGACCTAGAAGACAGAGCACTTGTTCAGCTGCTGAGATGTCGCTGGCACGTAAGTGCATGTGCTTGTGTGGACATGTAGAGTCTCAAGAACAACGAAAGAGCTGGGTGACTTGCTAGCACTTGATACCAGGGTATTGAGAAATACTCTGTGACACAAATAGCTACGTCCCCTTGTTTAGACGGGCAGGCCGTGCATGTGGGAGACAGTATACCTGCCGGCGAAGCTGGTAGCTGGTATAACCAACCTGGACTGCCACGGGAAAGCAGTGGCTCACACACCTGTATGCTTCTAGCGAGGGTGTCGGCAAGTGCAAAAGCCAGTGCAGATACTCCAAGAATGTGCTGGAAAGAGGGAGAGATGGGATAGCACCTGTTGGATTCAGCATCCTTCTCTTCTAAGAGAACTGGCTTGGCCTTTCTTTCTCAGAAACCAAGAGAGGGTTGCTGCCTTTGCTATGTTTTCCTGTTAACAAGCAACAAAATGAAGTAATTAATGTGAGTTTCACTTTCCCTTCCTTTGACTATTCATTTTCAAGCAGATCCAATGGAGGATAATTTGATACTGCATTTTTCTGCCAAGGAAGCGGAGTGCTTGCTACTCTTGCATCCTTACTGTGCAGTGAGCTGAGGACAGGGATCATGAGGCCCATTATACAGATGAGTAGTGTGAGGCCAATTGAAGAGACCTGTTCATTCTCTAGTTAAGAATGTCAGACAAGGGCAGCCTGGGTGGCTCAGCAGTTTAGCGCCGCCTCCAGCCTAGGACCTGATCCTGGAGACCCGAGATCGAGTCCCACGTCGGCTCCCTGCATGGAGCCTGCTTCTCCCTCTGCCTGTGTCTCTGCCCCCCACCCCTGTCTTTCATGAATAAATAAATTTAAAATCTTTTAAAAATATTTTTAAAAAGGAATCAGACAAAATCGTAATCTGGAGTATAATTCATTAGTCTTTATGTGTCCTTCTTTTTAAATTGAGAATTTAGTAAGCATTGTGGAAGATTATGTCCTGCAGATGAAGGCAATAAGGATAACCCTGGGGAGTATGTGTGAAGGGGACCCTCCCTGGGGTAGAACTGGAAACAAAGTGAGTCAAAGCTCTCATTGGCTCACTCTCCAACCACTCTGAAATTCAAAAGAGCCCGTGGCTAGGAGCAAGGAACACCCACACCCTCCTCCCCTTCCAGAAAGACTCCAGTGCAGGTAATGCTGGCTTTTGTCAATAGTAACACCAGGACAGTAAAGCATAAAGCTAGAAAGCAGCCTCAGGAGAATCTCCTTCCGTCTTTCTGGTTTTTGGTTCCTAAGAGGAGGCCTGGATGAACAGGTAGGAGAGAGACAAGGGCCGACTCTTGGGGCAGGCAGGGAGTGCAAGGCAAGGTTCTGCAGTAGTGTAGGCTTCAGAAGTGCCCAGCCGTCCCCCTGTCCCCAGTAGCTGCGATGCTCCCACCTGAAGCCACATTGTACCACTCCATTTGTTACTAGGCCTCGAAGCCCCGTGTGGGAGCCTCTGCTACCCCGAGAGCCTCATTAAGCATGTCATCGGCTTCACTCAGGCTGGTGCAGGTTTTCTCCCCTGGTCCACACCTGGGCTGCTCAGCCTGGCCTGGGCTTGGGCAGGGGCCCCGGGGGGCCTGGGGCCCACCTAGAGGAGTCGCCTTTGGTCTGAAGTTCTGCCCCTTAGCAAAAAGGGTCTGCTAAGACCCTCCCCCAGCCTCCCATTGACCAGCAGATTTAATCCACAGGAGGGCTGTTGCCAGATTACAGCGGGGGGGGGGGGGGCAAGGATTCCAATCTGATCCCTCCAGAAGGAAAGCCCATGGGTTGCACCCACCCCAGCCCTTCTGAGGGGTTCACTTGCTGCTCCGTCTTGCCATGGCATGGTTTCCCCCCGCCCCCCAGACTCCTGTAATCAACCATCATCGGCCTCTGTGATCACAGAGCTCTTTCCTCTCACTCACTTACCCTGCCTGAAATGCCATTGTTCGGCAGAAGCCGTGGATGTATCATGAGTGAGCGTGCCTCTCTCACCACGTGTGTGAACCTATTCGGCAGATCAAGTGTGCTTGCCTAGCAGCTGCCTGGGATTAGGGTGCTGAAGGATGGACTCTCCCACAGAAAAGAAAAGCGTGGTTTCGCAGCTTTGCAAGGCTGTTATGAAGGGAGCACGGGTTTCTTGAGATGGGTGCACAGGTCAGAGAGAGGTGTGAAATGAGAGGGAGTGGAAAGGGCAAGTCTCAGAAGACACAGTTCACATAAACTCAATTTGACCTACTTAACACTTCTGCTTGGGCGCTGCCTCACTGGAAAAGAAATGCTGATATTCACTCCAACGATGGAGCGGTGAGGGAACCTGCATGGGTTTGGCTGATGGAGGTGACGGGCTTTTTTTTTTTTCCTGCGAGGAATTCTGTGCACAGTCCATTCTGCAGAGTACAGGGGCCTTTTCTAACAAATAGGTATCCCACCCAGCATGCAAACTTGGAGTTGCGGGAGGTGCCGGTGCCCACGACCAAGATCGGGATTCCTCTGCTCACCCCTAGTTCCCAGCATGCTCCTGGCATTTTCTCACCCCTAAGCCTTTGCTCTCGCTATTCTTGTAGGATTACCATTCTCTGGCTTCTACCCAAACTTTGAGGCCAGCTCAATGGCACCCTTTCTCTTTAGCTTTCCCTGATGCCATTCATTTGCTCATTCATTCATTCAACAAAGGTTTCTTGAGTGTCTACTATGTGCAAGGCACTCTTCCAGGCGATGAAGTCCAGCAGTAAGCAAAACATACTCAGTCCTTACCCTCACAGAGAGTATATTCTGAACAAGAGTGATCCCATGCACCACCCCCCCACCCTCATGGTCACATGTCTCTACTGCAGTGGTTATCACACTGTCTTGGAAGGGGTTGGTGTCTGGGGTTCTCTCAGTCTCCTCAATGATGGACCCCTTGCCAAGCACCAGAGGCAGCCCCTGATTTCTTTATACAAGGAACTCAGTGCAGCAAATCTGTAGGAAAGGCAGAGACAAGGGGTCTTATATGCAAACTCCACAAAACTTGCACGCATGGAGTGTGTGCCTTTTTTACGCAGATTGTGTGAGGGATCATGAAAGCAACTTAGGGAATTTATCCTAAAGCTGTGTTGGCCTGGTAGACACACTGTTACCCCCAGGAGCGTGTTTATTTGGAATGGCTTTGGGGGGTGTGATGGATACAGTTCCCCTAAAGCAATTCCTTGGAGCCACCCCCATCTGGCCCATAGAAGGTGCCTAAGACCTGGTCAAATTGTTGTTGAAAGGGCAAGAAAGTGTAATATGGACCTAGCTATCGGATCCCAAGGCTGGGCACTGTGCGGGTGTGAAGCACACCTGGGACTCCAGCAAGCTGGTGTGAGCTCGGGTTACACTTGGCAGAGGCGGTCTGAAGGAGCTGCTCCCTGGTGCATAATTCACTGCTCACTCCTCCAAGGAGGAGGGGTGGGTATGAAGCCAGGAGGGACGCAGCTGGCCCTGGAGGAAGCAGGGCGACATCCTGTATACTTGAAAAGAAAACTGAAAGTGCCTTTCTTCACAAGAAATTATTGTGTTTTCCTCTTTTTTTCATAACCCACAGGTATGACAGGGTTTCTCTGGTCCGGAGCTGTGGGTGAAACACAGGGTTGGGGGGAGGGGGAGACAGCGGTATGAAGGGAATTTGGATTGTTCCGTGGTGCGTGTTCTTTGTCTAATTCAGGGAAGATATCAGCCTGCTGGAGCCCACCCCGAGGAGCCCCGTGCTATATGATATGGGTCCTGGTGATAGGAACCTCTCTTCTGGCTGTTAAAGTGCATTCCTGTGTAGATGTGGAAAGAGAGAAAGCATGCTGGAGCCGGAGCTAGGATAGGAATGTGAGTATTTCCTTAATTGGACATGAGGGCCTTGAACTGGTTCCAGTTTTGGTGTTTTCTTTCAAGAGCCTGGACCCTAAAGATTCCATAGAGTTTTCTTTCTCTAAAAATCCCTTTGGTTCAAAGGCCCCTTGATAGAAATAAAGAAAAGGCCAGAGCTGAATCTCTTTGATATTTGGGAAGGCAAGAGTTTGTGGGCTGCCAGATATCTGGCTTCTTTTAGGGGGTGAGTGGGTTCTGGGTGGGAAGGAAGGAGGTTCCTCCTAAGATGGCACATGGCAAGAGTACCCACAGGCGTTTACTTCGGGTCTCGGAGCCCGGATGATAGGATGCAAAGCACTTCCCTTAAGCATTTATAGAAGCAATTTCTCTTAGCCTTATTAGCCTTCCAAGAGCTGAAAAGATGCCTGTTGCCTGCCTTATCGCTTTAGGAGTCTGGGACACGGAGAAACCATGCAACGTGCCTGAGAACTTACAGCAAAGTAAGTCGAAGGCTAGAGGATTTTGTCTGGTGGGTTCGGGTGGTTTTGTATGAAGACTAGCTTCCTGACGGCTGACGTGGGAAAGCATAAGCATGCCCACACTCAGGCCTCGGGCATTCATCGTGTGTCCAGAACCCAGCTGGACACTTGCTGTGAGGCATCAAAGACTGGTGGAGCTCGCGGGGTATGAGGGGGTGATGTGGGGACACTGGCACCACAGCAGTGCCCACTGGGCAGAGCTTCACTACTTTCCTCTCATGTCTGCCCCCACCCTGCAGCGCGCTGGAAACTTCAGTCAAAGGACTCCAGGGGAAAATGGGGCGGTCCGTGGTTGAAATGAGTGAAAAACCAAAGCAGATGCAATCGACTCTGCTGAACCCCATCTTTTCCCCCAAACACCTTAAAAACAAGCCCTGCGTCTGCTCAGTGCTTTCCAGCTTACCAACTGTTTTCATAACACTATCTCATTTCATCCTCACATCAACCCACACACATTCTTGCCTTTCAGATTTCTTATGTACTCAAATGAGTTTCACTGAAAAAATTGGCTAGAAACTCCCCTTCTTCTACTCAGTTTTTTTAAAAACCCCAAGCCTTTGACTGATATCTTTAAGAAACTCCCAGATTCCCAGGGTGGGAAATGTATTTATACTGCCAGTCCTACCCCACTGGATGGACTCCAGTAGTCCTGGTCTTTGCTATTGGGACTAACATTTTTTAAAAGAGATTGATTTATTTATTTGAGAGAGAGAGAGAGCGAGCAGGGAGAGGGGCAGAGGGAGAAGGAGAGGGAGAGAAGCAGGCTCCCTACTAAGCACGAAGCCTGATGTTTGGGGGTGGGGGTGGGGGTCTCAATCTCCCAGCCCCAAGATCATGACCTGATCCAAATCAAGAGTTGGGCACTTAACCGACTGAGCCACCCAGGTGCCCCTGGAACTAACATTTTCTATTCAGTCTGTAGTTTATCTGTTTAAACAAATAAATCCACAAGGACCAGGTTAAGTGTAATATTGTAGGGAAAACATAGGCTTTAGAAGCAACAAGGCCCAGGGTCAAATTCTGGTTCAGTCTATTTGAGAACTTTGGGCCATGGCCCAGTTACTTAACCTCTCAAGGCCTCTCTTTCTTAGTCTGACAAATGGGACAATAGTGCGTATGTTATAAAGTCATCGTGAGGCATAAACATGCTAGCAGACACAAGTGCACATTAGCCAACAGCTGCTTCATGAAGTCCCTTAGAGCTAAACAAAATACCAGCTTCACCACTACTAAGCAAATTAAATGCATTATTGTCTTTTTGCAAGGCAGGAGGCAGATAAAGCATGGGAATGTATCACTAAGTGAATTTAGATGGAGACTTTTGTACTCAATGAATAATTTGCTACAGGGCCTACAGACTCGGAACACCGGTGCCACAGGCAACTCAGTACCTGTATTCTTTTTATGATTCTTATTTTAGGCGTGAGAGAAAAGGAGCTGGGACACTGGATTTATGCGATGCTGGAAAGCAAGCCAGTTCTGATTACGGGTGGATTTTTATTAAAGCAGAAATTGCAGTTCAACTCTTGAGTTTCTGAAGACAAAGGTGGCAGAAGGAGGGAGTGCAGAGGGCTGTTTAGTTCACTGAGCTGCACATTGTAGGTGCTCAGTAAATGTCAGCAGTGGGCCAACTGGGTTCGGAGGGTCCAGATCATGTGCTTGACTTCTGCTGCTGACTTGGCAGAAGCATAGGATGGTGGTGGAAAGAACATTTGCCCAGTGGTCTGAAGGCCTGCGTTCAGGTTCCATCTACACCACTTAATAGCCTGGTGACCTTGGACATGCCATTTAATCTCTTCGGTGTCTTCTCACCTGTAAAATGAGGAGACCAGACTCGGTGATTTGGAAGGTCTCCCTTTCAGCTCTAGGGTTCTGGGGCTGTAAGTTAACTTCATTCACTGGTATTTCTGTTTCTTTATTCGAAGGAGGTAGGGATAGAAACCTAGCTCATGGGATGTTGGGAAGCAATGGCCAGACTGCATGTTCAAGGACCCTGCGTCTTTACAGATATGATCAGAGCAATGTAGCAGAGTAGCTCTGTGATCTTTGGCAAGTGCCCTAACTTATTTCAGACTCGGTTTGTACCCTGTAAGCTAGGGACTGTATGTTGTGCTATGGTAATCTTACTACATTCTTTTGAAAACCGAGATCATGAAAATGCTTTGAAGACCTTCAAGGCACTACATAAAGTATTATGATTGAGAAACGGCATAGTTGTTATAGTTACACCAAAGTTTAGCCCCTGTGCCTCCCATATTTTCATATGAATGAATGCGTCGCCATGGTTTCCGAGAGGAAACAGTGTAGTTTTGGGGAGGTGAATTTTAGCTAAAATGGGCATTAATGCAGTTTCCTCAAGAGCAGGCATCAGTTTCTCGTTTCTCTCCAATGTAGGGGATTTTTCAGGAGGCCAGACATCTGTTGTTGGAGATCTTACATCCTACCTTCTTCAAAATGAGGCCATTTTGACATTTTAAGGGTGTGTGTGTTGCAGGGGGTGAGGGGGGGGTAGCTTTCTGAGTTTAGAAAGTTTCACAAGCGATAATAAAAAATACATAACGTGTTGATGTGTAAACGTGGTGAGTCAGCCTTTCATCCCAGGCCTTGCCAGGGATTGCTTCTGGGGACAAATGGCAGAGGACATGAGTCCTATTCTCCCAGGGCCTACCTTTCCAGTCTCTGGAAAGTCACAGTCTGGAAACTAGCTCTCCAAGCAGCAGCTTCTCCTTTGACTATGTAGATGACAAGATGTCACACCCCCTCTCCCCCCTGTGCAAAAGGCACAAACAGCTCCCTCTGCTAGCAGCAATCCCATCCTGGAGCATCTCCCCTTATCACCTGCCCGCAGAAGCATTGATCTCCATCAGGGCGCTACCTCCAGAGGAGCCGCATGGAGGTGGTACTTGGCAGCATGAATCAATTTCTGATTTATTTTACGGAGTGGGATGGGGGTGGGGAGAAGCTCCTGAATTTCTCTGGTTGGAAGGAACACCTGGGAACTGGGGGAGCGGGGAGAGGCAGGGTGTGAGGGTTTGTCTCAAAGCTATGTTTTCAAAGGAAGTGCACTGTTTATTACCCAGGTTGTGTATGTGGATGACTAAACATAGCAAAGTTGTTTTTATTTAGTTTTCTCGTTATTTTTATTTGGGTGAGCTTGGGAGGGCTGATGAAAATTATGAGGGCCTGCCACTGTTAATAAACCCCCACCATTAATCCCATCACCCTTCACCCGAGATAAGTTTATGTATTTCCACTTGTAAGTGTATATATATATATATATATGGATTTAATACATGCCCTACCTTTCAAAGAGCTGACTGACTTCAAAGCGCCTTTAATTTTGCCAAGTTTTTGAAGGCTCCCCCTTTCTCTCCTGCACACACACACACACACACACACACACACACTCCCTGGACCCCCCAGTACACCTATAGATCAGGGTCATAAAGCCATTTTACAGGAGTCTCTGAAGCAGAGGTGTGAAGCAACGCGCTCCAGCCACAGAGGGGCAGACTCCCATCCTGGCTCTGGGGGCTGCGGAGCCTGACCACCTGGACAGCTCCCCCCCCCCCCCCAGAGCTGTAATTCCCGGGCCTTGTGGGAGGGGTTTGGCTGAAGCTCTTTGTTTCTCCTCCTCGCAGCAGATGCGGAGCCAAGGCCAGTGGGGTGTGCTTGTGCGGCGCCCACCCGCACCCCCTGCCCCATGCCGCCGCGCGCGCGCGTGTGCGTGTGTGTGTGTAGGTGTCCAGTGGAAAAACCCTACGAAGACACCACATCCTTTCTCACACAGATAAAACCCTCCACGGATCTGCGGGCCGCGGACCGGCCCCTCGCAAGCGAGCGCGACCCCCGTCCACCGGCGCTGGGCCGCCAAGCTCCCTGCATCCCACCGCCTCCTCCCTGGCGCTGCTCTCCTTTCCAAGCAGCTTGCGGGAGCTGGAAGGACGCGCCTCGGGCGCAGCGACCCCGGTGTCCGCGGGCGAGGCCTACTGTGGGGGATGGACGCTGAAGGGGGTCGCGCGTCCCGGCTGGGGGCGCGAGCGGGTGCAAAGGAGCGAGCCGGCGCCGGGCATCCCGGGCCGCGTCGAGGGATGGCGCCCTCCCACCGCGCACCGTCACGTCCGGAGCGGGCCCAGCGCCCCCCGCCCCGGCCCACGCTCCGCCGCCGCGAGCGCCGGGGGGGTGCGCGGGGCAGGGCCGCGGACCCGGGCGCCGCCGTGGAGCCGCTGCGCGCGCGCGAGTCGGCGGGAGGGAGCCCGGCTAGAAGCGGAGCGCGGCGGGCGGGGAGCCGAGCCGCGCGCGCCCCCGAGCCGCCACCCGCGGGGCTGCGAGCGCCGGAGCCATTCATGATTTTGGTGACGTTATTCCAGGAGTGGGCGAGGGGGCGGGGCCTCCGGGGCCGGGCCCCGCCCCCGCCCCTATAAGTACGGCTTCCCGGGCTCTTTGTGGGGCCGCGAGCTCGGTGGAGGAGCGGGAGCTCGGAGCGCTCCGCCGACGCGGCTGGCAGCCGGGCAGCCCCCGGAAGGCGGACGGGCGGTCGCCTGGTGCCCGCGCTCCGCACCCTCCCTCGGGACGCTGTGGCCGTTTTTAAATCACAAGGGCGTGGGTCAGCCTCCCCTAGGACTTCATGTCCGTATATTTCCCCATTCACTGGTGAGTACCGCGCGCCCTCGGCGGGCATCCGTCTCGCGCCATGGCTGCGGGGCCCGGGCGCCTGCCCCTGCGGGCTCGGGGGCCCGCACCCACCCACCCGCCGCCCGGCCCCGGCAGGAGGCAGCGTCAAGGTTGCAAGGTGGGGGCGGGGGGCGGTGGTGCCGGGAGCATCCAGACAAAGGGAGCGAACTCAAGCCCCCGCTGAAGTGACGGCCGGGAGGGTGTGTTGGTGCTGGTGACGAGGTGGGGGTGGGGGACAGAATCGGGGGCCAAGCGCGGATCCCGCTCAGGAAACCCCCAATGCGGAGGGCTGCGGGAGGCACGCGCCCAGGCTGGCGCAGGGGGCTCCTGCTCCCCCCCGCCCCGCCCCGCCCCGCCCCTCCCCTCCTTTTTGTTTGCATGCAAGTCTCGGCGTCGAGGCCGGCGGCCGCGGGGCTGAGCCGGTGCAGCGGCGCTTTCGCAGAGCTTCGAGGGGTGGGGAGAAGCGCTCTCCCCACACGGAACCCGATCGAAGCCGCAAGCAGCAGCACCAGCACGCTGCACCTTCTCGAGCTCATTCCTCTCCAGAACCCGTAAAACCCGATGCGCCTCTGTAGCGGCCCGGGCTGGGGTGGGGGCCGGGGAGCCGCCCTCGCCGGCCGTGCTGGAAGATTCCGGGACCCCGGGCCCGGCGGGCAGAGAAGGCTCGCACGGACCCAGGATCCGGGCCGGGAGGGATGCGCGGCGGGCGCGGCGCTGGCTGCGGAGCGAGGCCCCCCGGCCGCGGCCCGGGAAGAGGAGGAGCGGCCGGGGGAGCCCTCGGGTGCGGGTGCGGGTGCGGGTGCGGGTGCGGGTGCGGGTCGGCGGCCGGACCCACGGGTTCCAGCGCCGAGCGGTCGGGCTCAGCCCAGGAACCGGAAAGTTCGTGCTTCTCGCTGCAACTTCTGGGGCCCGCGCCGCAGCCCCGAGCGAGGAGCGAGCGCCCTACCCCGGGCGAAGCGCCTGGCCGGAGCCCCGGGGGCGCTCTCCTGGCCCGTTTCCTTGGGGGTCGGCAGCAGCCTTTCCACGACCCGCGGTGAATCCGCCTTGGAGCCCCCCCCCCTTCCTGACCCTAACCATTGCCCGGAAGCCCGGCATCTTCTGTCTCTCCTCCCCCACTGTGGCTCTGTTTAGAGAAATGAACTCTCAGAACAAAGTAAAAATTCCCCTACCCGTGAGGCTTGCGTACCCCCTCCTTGCACGCGCCCCTTCCCTCCCACCTCCGTGGTGTGTGAACAGCCAGGTGCCGTGTGGGTGAGACTGACGGCTGGTGGAGGCTTCGTGCCCCTGGCCCCTCAGAACTGGCCAAGGGGGGTGTGAGGGCCCCTTGGGGTTATAATGCCCTGAGAAATTAAGGAAGATAAAATCATTGGGAACTGTTTTATAGCTGATTAGCACTTCATAGTTTGCAATACCCGACCTCCCCCCCACCCCCTCCAGAGATTAGCCATTTAGCATAACTGTAATAATAGGCATTATTAGCATCGTGGTAAGAAACGGCACCTGTGGCTCAGAGAGGTTCTACTGCTTGTTCAAGATCACACAGCTCTTCAGTGGCAGAACATGGACCAGACCTAATGCTTCTGTTTCCAAACCCAATAAATACTATTTCTACTCTGTAGTGATCCTAAGTGAAGAAGAACCTTAAGGAAACCCGTTTCCTTAGATGCAATCAGTCTAAAGCCTTGCCCACTTTGTTGTTGCTGCTGCTGCTGCTGCTGTCGTTGTTACTATGTGTAAAGACATGGTGGTGAAAATACTGGATGTTGTGTAGAGAGTACACTGACATCGGTATGTACTATTTGGCATTATGCATTCGGGACCCTGTATGTGCCCGGGGTTTGTGTGAGGATAATGGAACATTTGTATCCTGCTTACACAGTACAAAGCACTTTCACATGTCAGCCATTGGTGGGCCAGCTTGGCCCCTCTGGAAATTTCCTTTGCAATCAGAGTCCGGGCATCCTTAAGGCTTTTAATCCAGGGGATGTTTTTCAAGCTATGAGCTTGCAGCTGCTGTGGCCAGACTAGAGAAGGGGGTTGGATGGCAGATGTGAAGCTTGCAGAAAGCTGACCCCTTGGGGCTTTAAGTGGGACATTTTACAAAAAGGAACACCAGAGAGAGAGAGAGAGAGAGAAATTTAGGAAGAGAGAGTTATTGGACTTGGTTTCCCTACGGTTGACCGGTTATCATTATGTAATAATAATATGCAGTTCCCCTAGAGATGGGTTGAATTGATTTTAAAATAGATAGACTCAGCTACCTATTGTTTTGGTTTTTTCTAGTCCTGTCACTTAAAAGAAAATCGAGTTGCGCCTGGCCAGTGGGGACTTTTACAGGAAAGGAGGGAAGAGGGGTTTGCCCGAGAGGCTTTCAGGCAGTTTCAGGGCTCTGTTGGTGAGGCTGAGTGCCCTGATGCCCTGGGCTTATAAGGGACTTCCTTAGGGTGTGAGCTTGTTTTTCTGTGATTTCTGTTTTGAACACCTCTCATCCTGCCTCCAGACAGTCCCCTGATCTAACAGCAGAAAGCACCAAGGATAGGAATGTGAAAGCGCGTGTGTTTGTTGACTTTTGGTCTGGGTTTCTTGGCAGCCCCGACTATCTGAGATCTGCCGAGATGACTGAAGTGATGATGAACACCCCATCCATGGAGGAGATTGGCCTCAACCCCCGAAAGGATGGCCTCTCTTATCAGGTGAGTTCAGTCCTGGGTTCCTCTGGCGCTTCAGAGCCTGGTGACTTTTGCTGGGGTTGGAGGCAGATGTGGTTTTGCATCCCAGTGCTACTTGGAACAGCTCTGTGACCTTGGGAAAAATCCCCTCATGCCTGTAAGCCTCAGTTTCTTTCTCTGTAAAATGGGGCAATAACAGTCCTTACCTCAGAGAACTGTAGTAAAGATTCAACTTGATGAGTTGGTGTGTAGAAGGCATTCATGGTGCCCGGGACACGGTACCGGTTCAGCAAGTGTGAGCCGATGTCATTAATTAGTCATCCTGGCTACAGGGGATTCTCATGTTCACAGCAGCAAGGGGGAGACATAATTTGTACAGTCAGTTCAGACCAACGCTTCCCTTCTCGTCCCCAGGGGCAGGCTATCTCAGGAATGTGATTTCTGGCATTTAGATTCGAGATTTGGATCCTGTGTGATGGATCCAAAATACACGAGGACCTCAAAAAGTGGCCTGTCACCTTCAGATTCTTAACACAGTGCTCTTCCTCGCCTGCCATGCCCACTGCCCCCGGCTGGCTACACAGCTTCTAGATGTCTCTGGGGCAGCCAACTGTTTTCATATTTCCAAGGAGCATTCCGAGGTTATTACATGGGGGAGACGAAGGACTCTAGTTTTGAGGGAAGACCTTGGAGCTAGGGAGATTGTGTACATATGGTGCTTGGCCTGGGGAAGATGAATGGGGTGTGATGAGCCCATCCAGTGGATGTTAACTGAATGTCTGCCGTGAGCTGTGCACCTTACAGACGTTACTCATTTGCTCTTGACCATTGCTCTTGACCGTAGCTCTTGGCTCTGTTTAACAGATGAAGAAACAGGCTCAGACTGTAGTAGAGCCAAACTCCAAAGTCTGGCTCTTCTGATATGTCTGTCATGTGTCTGGACCTCGAGCTGGTTCTTGCTGAAAATCTCGACTTGCTCTGGCTGGTCATTCTATGGAACCATTCCAGGGCATTGATTTTGTTAAGGAAGAAACCAATCGAGAACTCCAGGCATGTGATGGGGAGGGTGGGGTGAGGATTGATCAAAGAGCTGAGATGAAAGCTGATTTCAGGTAAGGTAATTCGGTAGGTGACAGCAGAGTCACCTGAGACACGCTGAGAGGCTCAGGAAGGCCCCTTTGTTTTGTGTCAGGCTCTGGCCAAGCCCCTTTTGCTGGCTGGAAAGGAGTATTCATGTAGCCCAAGGAGATGAGGAAAGTGAGGGGGAATACCCTTTCCTGGTTGGTTTTGTACCCTCCACCCCCAGCATGGGTCTGAAAGAGACCATCAAAAGCCCCACTGCCAGTGGGAGGGTAGAATTTTCCTGGCCCACCGGCTGGGCTGTTTTTGGATTCCAGTTTCCAAGCCGCTGAATCAGACCGAATCTCTTTGTGGTTATAGGTGAGATTTTCTTTCAGTTTTGGGTTTGAGAGTTCCATCACAGAACCTTTCCAAACAGTCATCAGTACGTCTTGTGTGTGCATTTTATATTCCTTCTTGAAACGTGTCCCAGGATCAGGGGGCTGTGCCCTCCCGGGTCCTGGTCTCCACCTTCAGGCCCCTCTGCTGGAGCCTGGGGGGCCAACACCGCTGACCGGGGCAGAACCAGCAGTGCTGAGGGAGGGAGGTGGAATGGGCGTTGCAATGGCAGGGGGATATCAGATTGCTTCTGGGCTCCCGAGATGTCATGATGCTGTCTGAGAAAAGGGCCCTAAATCTTCCCAGTGGTGCTGGCCTATAGGATCCATTCCCATGAGTCCTCAGGAAATCTGTTCCTGCTATCTGGGTGGGGGCTACTGTCTAGTTCCAAAATCTCTTACCTGGAACTTCAAAGCACTCTTGTCACCAGATTTCAGAAAGTTCCTCTGGTGGCACAATGAAGAGAAAGAGAAGAGGTTGTAATCTTTAACCAAGCAACATGTTTACAGGGCACTTGCTGTATGCATTGTGCTATGGTGGGCACTCTAGAGGGGGCCCGGGGCTCCTATGGGAAAGTGGTATGTGCATAATACCTGGAGGGTAGGTAGTCTGGGGCAGCAGTGCAAAGCCATGGGCACTCCAGATATGGATGGCCACGAGAAGGCTTGGCCAGTCAGACAGGGGCTGGGCCTGAAAGAATATTAGGACTGGGAGAGAGCATCTCCATGTCTAATTTAATTTTGTTGTGCGCCCAGATGCCCCCTCTGGCTTGCCCCTGTTTATGCCAGGTGCGGGGCTCTGCAGCCAGCTGATCTGACAATTTTCATATGACCAATATCCTCTGGGCCCACTCAGAGCCAATGTCATGCAATTAAACACATTCCCGCCAGAGCTCTGGGGACTGGCCGGGACCACACTGGCCGAAGCCCATCGGCTGTGCATGCTCAGGCTGGGCTCAGATCTGGGGCGGGATATCTCAGAGCTCTGTTCTTGGCATCCTTCCTGAGGATAATAATAGTACATGGCTTTTACCAGGACCTGCTTTTCCAAGGAACTGAAAGTGGGAAGGAGACATCAATCCCTACTTGGCAGATGAAATAGAGTCTCAGGCTTGTGATCTGACCTTGAAAGAAGGTCGTAAAATAGGTAGGCACGCTGGACTTCGGCAATCATTCCCCCCACCTTCCAGACCTCCCCAAGAATGAAGCTTTCCTAATTTCTCTACCCCAGATGTGACCTCTTCCTTCTTTCAACACTTGTGGCATTTGTGCTCTGAAGTGATGCTGCCCCGGGCCTCTAGGTGCCCATCAGCCACTCCAGACCTTCCCAGAGCAGGTGCCAAGTAAATGGTGCTGGTTTTGGTGAAGTTGAGGCTCCTGATCCCAAAGCTGGCCATTTTCACTTCTACTTTGGGTTTTTTAAAGGGCCTCCTCAGCAAATGCACACCAAGGTTTCAGATAAATATCTTTTTATCCCCTGAAAAATTGAGGTGAGCCCTGTTTGGGGGCTTATGAAGTTAGTGTCACTTTTGTGGGCATGTATAAAAAGCAGCAGAGCCAGTGCCTTGTTTCACCTTAACATTTATGTAGAGAGTCCGCTCAATCAGTACGTGAACTTCATGTCTGCACACCCACTCGGCATGTATTATGGCACCTTGCTGGGTGGGTGAGGACACGGTTCCTCGAAAGTCTGAGTACCTTCTGGGCAGGTTGCGGGGAACAGCTGGTCCACTGGGGCTGAGTGGGAGGGTCCCCATGAGGACATTTAAGGTCCCCGATGGCTGCAGCTCCCTCCCCACCCTGCGTCCATCTGTGGGCCTCCTGTTCTCAGATCCACCCACAGCACAGGAATGTCCACCGCCTACACCTTCATACTTGCCCCAAGTCAAGGAAGCAGGTCAGGGGCTGCCTCGTGGGCCCCTCCATCAGCTCCAGGGGCTCTAAGTATGTGGCATTTTTGGAATGCCTCTCTGACTGGGTCTCCTTTCCTGCTGTACCTGAAGCGGCCTGGGTCCTGCGTGGGGAAGGGTCTTGAGCATTGTCTGTAGACGCTGGCACTGCTCCCACCTCCAGGCTCTGGGCATCCTGGCCACAACACGGTGTGCTGAGGCTTCCACACTCTTACTGCCCTCACTGAGTCCAAGACAGAGGTCTGGCTCCTTGACTTACATTTAAAATTGCCCCTTCTCAAGCATCTGGACCAAGGTCTGATACCTCTGCCCTTCCCCAGGCTCTGTAAATTCTTCTCTGACCGGCACGCATGTCTCTGACCAGCTGCCCCTTGCACTCCTGCCGCTGTTCTTGGTCACGTACTCCTACCATCTGATGTCCATCCACCGGTCCAACAGGCAGCGGGCTGTCTGCAGGGAAGCCAGGGAGGATGCATCTTAAAGCAGAAGGAGCTAGCTCTTCACTCGCCGCAGTGTTCTGTGTGTCCTATGCCTTCCCTGTGAGCCACAGAGCTCAGGGCTTCCCTGCATCTTCCCCTTCGCTGCCTGAGACAGGAGGCGGGGAGAGCCTGGGTTTTGCACCAGAGGGAGGAGGGAGAGCAGGGGGTGGGAGGAGGACTCTTCCCACAGTCTGAGTTTCAGCTCAGTATCAAGGACAGGAGTAAAGCACTATGCTGGCTGAGAGCTTGCCCCTCCCTGGACAGGATCACTCAGTCTCTCCTCCCTGCAAAGGCCCAACAGCAGTGGGCTCCCCTAACCCCACTCCCGCTGCTTCCCATTATCGAGAGCAGCAAGTTCCGTCTCAGGGAGTGGGCTCAGGTTAACCTCTAAGTTCAGGCAGCAGTTCTGAAACCCTTTCTGTGCGGAACCTTTCTTTGTGAAGATCTGCTGAGCCTGCCCCCCCCCCCCCCCGCCCCACGCGTTCCCACCTGTGCAAAGGCACGTGTTGAAATAAGTGATGGGCTGAGCTTCCCCCTCAGGGTCAGCCCTCAGAGAGCTTCAAGCTCCTGGTCCCTGCCTCCGTCCCCCACCAGCCCTGCTGGGGAGGCCATTCCAAGTGTAGCTCATCCACCACTTGCCTCCTCCTCCTCCTCATGGTTACCCCCGGTTGTGGTACCCCCACGTGTTCTCAAGAGTTTTGGAGGCCCCACTGAGTGGCCTCACGGAGTCCCATGGTCACTAGGAAATCATCTTTCACAGCACCAGACTTAAAAAGCCTCTGTTGTCCCTGGAGAGAAATAAAGCTAAAATTGCAGAGCATTTGGCAGGAGCCGTCCAGCCACGGACACGACATGTTACTGGAATCACAGCAAGTTTTCTTTCTCCGCTCCCTGCCCCCTCCACTTTGCTCCCTCCTTGCTACAAAGCATAATGATATGAGGCAAGACAGGCAGTTAGGGCCACCGGCTGCACAAGCACCAGGAGCGCGCCGTTTCTGAGTGCGCTTGTGTCTACACACCTCTTGTTAAGTCAGTACCCACCTTGTTCAGATCAACTCTACTTTGCATGAGGGATCCAGCACCTTCCTTCTTAGGCCCGAAGCCTTGACACAAACATCGTGTTCACTGTTTTGGAATGCCCCCGGGGTGAGGGCCTGCAGAAGGCTGGAATCGTTCCA